AGGATGACCACAGCAGGACACAAAGACTTCGGTATTCAAAATTCCGAGTCCCTGTCTAGTGCTATCAATCCCTACATAAGTATAAAATGAGGCTGGGTGTGATGGCTCACGCCTGTAATCCCAGCACTTCGGGAAGCCGAGATGAGCAGATCCCAAGGTCAAGAGATAGAGACCATCCTGGCCAACATGGTGAAACCCATCTCTACTGAAAATACAAAAATTAGTTGGGCGTGGTGGTACACGCCTCAGGAGGTACAGCACCTCGTGGTGGTACAGCTACTCGGGAGGCTGAGGCAGGATAATCACTTGAACTCGGGAGGCGGAGGATGCAGTGAGCTGAGATCGTGCCACTGCACTTCAGCCTAGTGACAGAGTAAGACTCCGTCTCAAAAATAAATAAATAAATAAATAAATAATAAAATAAAATGAACTGATACTTACAAGGAATTTCTGTGATGAAACAAATGACTGAGTCAGCCTTTGAATAATTTCAATAATAATTTCCAACGTTTGTTATAGTTGACAGTGTTCTTTCACATCCATTATCTTATTTAGGAAGAACATGGGATCTGTGAGGGTCATTCAATTCTGACAGTGGTCATTATAGAAGACATATACTTTTCTCTTCTGGGATCACTAAAAATATTATAGATAGCCATTCATTTAAACTTGCTAAGAAGATACTCCTCAACAGAAGAGAACTGGCTAAAAAAGATCACTTCAGGAGGTCTAGTTCACATATCCAAGTGATTCTTCATCACTGCCACTTTTTATCTCCCAGGTCCTAAAGCTGTCTGAAAGAATGTAACAACCGCATGAAAAACCCCACAACAGATAGTAGGTTTTCAAGTCTCCTAAGAACATGGACAAAACTACTATATCTTCATTTATAGACAAGAACTGTTGAAGGCAACTTCAACTGTTGAAGAAAAAACTACTATTTTTTCTTTAATAAGCATCATTATTTTACTCATTTGCCAATACTTATTTACTCTTACAAAGTAATTATTTGTAACACCCTTAGGAAGGTTATTGATAATGAGAAGTAATATAACTTGGCCTGATCACAGGTCATGAGTAATATAACTTGGCCTGATCACAGGTCATGAGACAGTTATCCTCTTCACTGATTATATAATACATAGTAACTTATCTTCTCTGTACTGACAAATAAATATTTAATAATCTTAAACATGCATCATTTTGATTATATATGTTACTATTTTATGTAGAAATTCAAATATGTTTAACATGAATCTATTTAGATAAATATTATTCATCCTAAAAATCTTTACAGTATATATGCATATTACTTTGTGTGTAATTTCTCTCTCTAGCAGTTTTTGGTTTCTGAATGAGTTGGTCTTATAGTGAATTAAGAATAGGTTCTCCTAAGTCAGATCCTTGTAGCCTTTAATGTTAACTCTGATTATTTTGCTAGAAGATTCCCTTGGTTTTAACTAATTGCCAATCTATGTCTAGCACACTGTGTAGGAAGTGACAAGGGATAAAATGAGTAATAGAATAATAAAAATTTAGAGCTGGGAAAGCACTAATGATCATCTCTTTTAATCTTTCTCCATCCCTGTGCCACCAACCAAGGGATTTTTGAATGAGAAGTCTGAGTCCCAGAGAGATTATATGATCTCTCCTAGGCCAACAAGATAATAGCAAAGTTATGCTAGTCAAAGAGCACAGATAATCCCAGGACTTTGAATGCAACATGATTTTACTTCCTAATTATTCCTGCAGGGGTAGATCTATAGAGCTACTTTCACATTATAGAAGTATAATTTGTTTTCAAATATTGATCACAACTATTTTCTATTATATATATTTTGGTACAATAAATTCTCTAGATACTACATTTTATTAGAATGTTCTAAATGTTGCTAATGCCATTTATTATCTTATTTAATATTCAAGGTAGTAAAATAGTAAGCTCTTTAGTGGCTTTCTCATTAAAGTAACCACACTCTAGACTATGAATTAGACTTCATAAAGTAAATTCAAAAAATATGTCAATCAAAAAGCTTCTCTAATTAGCATTTATTATTGTCACCAGGAAAGCATATACCTAAGATATTCCATTTTGTATAACAAAATAATTTTCACAAGACTATTAGAGCATTTCCCTAAAGTCTTCGTATGATTTCTAAATGATTCTATGAAGTTTAAACTTGTAAAATGTCTAAACATTCATTTTGACACACAGATTATTTCAGTAGTAAAGCCAGAATTTCTGTACAATATATTTAGACATTGTTATAGAAAGCATAATGCCAAATCTATTTTCTACACAAAAATAAAGGGAAACATTATGTAATTTATTTAATTGCATTTCACTAGAGAGAGAGCATGGCTATCTCTGGGAATGGCAGTGGACCTTCAATTTTACCTGTAGTATTTGATTTCTTTCCTAAAGAACAACATAAAGCTGATATGACAAAATGTTCATTATTATCTTTTGTGCATCATAGGTAGATGGGTATTTTATACTTTTTTATTTTGTAAATTTCTTTAAAAAAATTAAAGAATTTTATAACCAAAATTGGATATTTTCACGTACCTATACTATATAACCTTAAACTTCTATATTTAAAACTTACATTTTAAGGCAATATATACTGATAATGTTATTGTTTTGCCTTTTTCTTCTCATTGATTGATCACATAAAGCATAACTGTCAATCAACAGTCCAGAGAATTTTATTTGGCCTCACTGTACAAAATTATACTCTCTGTGATATAAAGTTTGTTAAAACATGTTGTATATCTCACATAGCCTATCAGATTAGCCCCCTCCTGCTTTTTGATGTGATTGTGTGTGTCGCCTCTGAAACAGGGATGTACATTGTGACACATGGTTAACACACAAATGAGCTTTGATTCGTGACTTAAACCTGCTTTAAAGTCAAATCTCCCACAGACTAACACCATTAGCACATGATTAATGTTTCCAGGACCTGGATTTAACCAGTGATAATTTTAGAAACTACAATTATCCACATAATTGTCTCCAATTAGCTGTCTCCGAAGAGTGGTCAAGAACCAAAGCGAAATGGAGGTTGAATGTAAGGATATGTCTTCCTATTAGGGAGATGATGCATTTACTTTAGGTCTTTCGTGACAGTCAAGGAGTGTGTTTGGAGATGTATTTGGGAGAGGAGACATGATGGAAGAATATGACTGTTGCTTAAAGTGGAGTTTGGAAACTGTTGATGAGATGAGGCATTTTCTGACCTAGGCTATTGCTCAATAATTTGAAAGAGATTATCTCCTAAGTATGTAAGGAAATAAGTCTAAGAAAGACTAAGGTTTGAATTTAACACCTCTCACAGTAAGAAATTCATAGCCAAGAGCAAAATAAAATCTCTTAATCTGGGTAAGATTCCACAGATAAATAAAACATGTGACTTTAGTCTGTTTGTTTCTTCTTTAAGAACTCACAACAAACTCTTCAATGTCCTGCCTTCTTAAGTTAAAAAGTCAAACACCAGCTGTGTACAAAAGGCAGTCATGAACCCAAATTTCTAAATTCCAAAATGCTAAGAAGTTTCATTTTCCTCCAAAATAGCTGAACTAAGACATACTCTTTTAAAACATCACTAAATAGATACAATTTTGGTTAGTCCTATTCTTGCTCTTGCATTAAGGCTAATGGCAGATATATTGCCATCTTTTGATTCAGAACACACAACAACAACAAAATGAACGTGAATTTTGTTCTGTGTCTTTCCAATGGCAAGAAAAAAAGCATATATCCTGCCAGAACAAACCCTTCAAAGTTTATCACAATGAAAAACCCGAGGCATATCTCACCTGACAAGGTACCTAGTAGACTTCATACCTGAACACAGGAGTTTTTGGATCCTTTCTTAATTCTTATTTTCCTTCCTTCCATCCTTTCTCTTTTAAGATCTGCAAACTACATAGCAGTAGAAATTTTTCACTTCACATTTAACAGTAACAACCCATGCTTCAAGGAGGGAATGTTTGAACCTGTTAAACAATTATTTTAGGAAGAAACAACCAGCACATTGAAATGAGTCATTTGCACAACGGCTGGCAGAACTCATTCCAGAGCACACAGGAGGAGGGAGGAAATGCAAAACAGGACAACCTGTTGAGAGCAAACAGTGGAAGAGACTCATTGTCTCACCTGGGGAGCAAGAACCTTTGGCCGACATTTCAAAGAGACTCTAGTCAGTGTAGAAACAAATACAGGAACCTGTCATACTGGCTTTGCTGCGGGAGAAGCTAACATTTCAGATTCTTGGTGTTCTCAACTGTAAAATGAGGGGATTAGGCTGGATCCTTCTGGATACCTTAGCAGCCTAGAGGCTTGCAGAGCCCCAGAAGTGATAGATTTGACCTAACCACACTGATATTAGGGATTACAGGCATATCTTTTCTCCGAAGCTCAATATCTGCATTATTCTAATCTTTATGATGCCCGAAAGATCCCCTGGGGATCTGCTTTGACTTTTCCCTAAGGTTCTGGCCTATACTAAAGGCAGTGGCTGCAATTAGGTGGACCATCGTGTGATTTAAACAGACTTGAGATTCACCTTCAATGATGGAAGTTCTACTTCTGGACTAATATTTTTATCTCGCAGGTGCATTTCATACAGGGAAACTGACTGTCTTGATCTGCTTAGGACTGGTCTGATTTTAGTACTGAATGCATTATGTCTTAGGCAAATCCTCAGTTCAGACAAACTGGGATGGCTAAATCACCCTAATTACAAATATTTCTTAAGAACCTTCCATGAGCCAGGCTCTAAAAAAAGATATTGAGAACCCAACCAAACAGCCATCCAGGAGGTCAAGACAGACATTATACAAAGGAATAAATAAACAGCCAGTCATTACATATGATGACCATTACTGGGATGGAACAGGATGAAAAACAGCTGTGAGGACCTGCTTTGCTTAGAGGGAGTCAAGAAAGGCTTCTCTTATAGTAAGACATGAAGTGCTCTTTCTGCGCTACCACAATGGTGTGCATGAATGTCCTGGCTGATGTTCTCAAGAGCCTCAACAATGTCGAAAAGAGAGGCAAATGCCAGGTGCTTATTAGGCCGTGCTCCAAAGTCATCGTCCAGTTTCTCACTATGATGATGAAGCATGGTTACATTGGCAAATTTGAAATCATTGATAATCACAGAGCTGGGAAAATTGTGAACCTCACAGGCAGGCTAAACAAGTGTGGCATGATCAGCCCCAGATTTGATGTGCAACTCAAAGATCTAGAAAAATGGCAGAATAATCTGCTTCTGTCCCGCCAGTTTGGTTTCATTGTACTGACAACCTCAGCAGGCAACATGGACCATGAAGAAGCAAGACAAAAACACACAGGAGGGAAAATCCTGGATTCTTTTTCTAGGGATGTAATACATATATTTACAAGTAAAATGCCTCACGGACAAAAAATAAAGACATGGAAGAGGTCAGCCATGAATATTGCCAGGACAGATTAGTTCTAGGTAATTTCTAAGAATGAAGTGGCATCTCTGGAGCTAAGGAGGACATTGATACTCTTGCAAATTATGTTATTTATATATTTATACACTTAGAATACAAATTCTTTTTAAAATTATTATTATGCTTTAAGTTCTGGGGTACATGTGCAGAATGTGCAGGTTTGTTACATAGGTATACAAGTGCCATGATGGTTTGCTGCACCCATCAACCTGTCATCTACATTAGGTATTCTCCTAATCCTATCCCTCCCCTAGCCCCCCAACCCCTGACAGTCCCCAGTTTGTGATATTCCCCTCCCTGTGTCCATGAGTTCTCATAGTTCAACTTCCACTTATGAATGAGAACATGCAGTGTTTGGTTTTCTGTTCCTGTGTTTGTTTGCTGAGAATGATGGTTTCCAGCTTCATCCATGTCCCTGCAAAGGACATGAACTCATCCTTTTTTATGGCTACATAGTATTCCATGGTGTATATGTGCCACATTTTCTTTATCCTGTCTATCACTGATGGGCATTTGGGTTGGTTCCGAGTCTTTGTTATTGTAAACAGTGCTGCAGTAAACATACGTGTACATGTGTCTTTATAGTAGAATTATTTATAATCATTATATATATATATACATATATATATATATATATCCAGTAATTCTGGGTCAAATGGTATTTCTGGTTCTAGATCCTTGAAGAATCGCCACACTGTCTTTCACAGTGGTTGAACTAATTTACACTCTCACCAACAGTGTAAAAGCGTACCTATTTCATCCTCTCTAGCATCTGTTGTTTCCTGACTTTTTACTAATTGCCATTCTAACTGGTGTGAGATGGTATCTCATTGTGGTTTTGATTTGCATTTCTCTAAATGGTGTTGGGAAAACTGGCTAGCCATATGCAAAAAACTGAAACTGAACCCTTCCTTATACCTTATACAAAAATTAACTCAAGATGGATTAAAGACTTAAACTTAAGACCTAAAACCATAAAAACCCTAGAAGAAAACCTAGGCAATACCATTCAGGACATAGTCATGGGCAAAGACTTCATGACTAAAAACAATGGCAACAAAAGCTAAAATTGACAAATGGGATCTAAATAAACTAAAGAGCTTCTGCACAGCAACAGAAACTGTCATCAGAGTGAACAGGCAACCTACAGAATGGGAGACATTTTTTGCAATCTATCCATTTGACAAAGGGCTAATATCCAGAATCTACAAAGAACTTAAACAAATTTACAAGAAAAAAAAAACCCCATCAAAAAGAGGGCAAAGAATATGAACAGACACTTCTCAAAAGAAGACATTTATGCAACCAACAGACATGAAAAAAAGCTCATCATCACTGGTCATTAGAGAAATGAAAATCAAAACCACAATGAAATAGAATACAAATTCTAATAGGACGATTAGAATTAAAAGTACATGCTAACAATAATTTTGTCTAAATCCTAATGAGACAAAATATTTTGCATTTTTAAATCTACTACATGCCTCCCCAAAACTCACTTTCCAGAATTACTCCCTTTTTCTTTTTCTTCATTTCTTTTGTTTTGTTTTTGAGACAGGGTTTCACTCTGTTTCCCAGGCTGTAGTGCAGTGACACAATCATGGCTCACTACAAGATTGACCTCCCTGGGATCAGGTGGTTCTCCTGCCTCAGCCTTCTGAGTAGCTGGGACTATAGTAATGTGCCATCATGTCTGGCTAATTTTTGTATTTTTTGGTATAGACAGGATTTGGCTACATTACCCAGGCTGGTCTCAAGCTCCTGGGCTCAAGGGGTCTGCCTGCCTCAGCCTCCCAAAGTTCTGGGATTACAGGCATGAGTCACCACAACTGAACTTATTCCCCTTTTTTGTAACTACCCTATCCATAAAGAAGATTGAGTTATAGACCCTATGGGCCATGGAAAACCCGTAAGTTTTAGGGTAGGTGTTTTCTGGGCTAGTCTGTGCTTACTGACTCAGATAAACTGTGAAAGCCCTTTCCTTTGTTTTGGGTCCATTTATTGGCTCCTGAAGATGTTAGGTGCCCTGCTCTGCTACCTGAGATGTATCTCATTGTTTTAAGCCTTCAGCCTTATGATGACCTGCCTCTAAAGGTGGCTTTTAGTGTGACTCATTTTAAAAAGGCACAGAGGTAAGATCTAACAAACTCATCATTTCCATTAGGAAATGTCTCACCTCCCCCAAGCCAGGTCTCTCTTATGATTTTCTCATTTCTGATCTTGATACTTTTATTCTCCTGGACACACATGCTTGAAACTTCAGAGTCAGCTTGACCTCTTGTCTCAAGCTGCTTGCCTACGTCCAGTCAGTGGCTATACTCTCTTATTTTGTACCCTACAAAGTCCCCCTACTTTATTTTGCTATTCCTGGTCCCATTGCATGTTGAAATTAGAGAAATGACCACCTACTTGATTACCACACCCCACCACACACACAGACTCACATATTAATATACTGTTCTTTTAGACTACCACTGCTCATTTGCTGCCAAACTGACAGTGGTTTGCTATATTTAAGAAATCAAGATTCTTGGCCGGGCGCAGTGGCTCAAGCCTGTAATCCCAGCACTTTGGGAGGTTGAGGCGGGTGGATCACGAGGTCAAGAGATCGAGACCATCCTGGTCAACATGGTGAAACCCCGTCTCTACTAAAAATACAAAAAATTAGCTGGGCATGGTGGCACATGCCTGTAATCCCAGCTACTCAGGAGGCTGAGGCAGGAGAATTGCCTGAACCCAGGAGGCGGAGATTGCGGTGAGCCGAGATCGCGCCATTGCACTCCAGCCTGGGTAACAAGAGCGAAACTCTCTCTCAAAAAAAAAAAAAAAGAAATCAAGATTCTTAACCAAACTTTCCAATCTTATTTATTATTTACACTTTTTTTTTAAGCAGTTTCACTCTTGTTGCCCAGGCTGGAGAGCAATGGAGCAATCTTGGCTCACTGCAACCTCTGCCTCCTGGGTTCAAGTGATCCTCCTTCCTCAGCCTCCCAAGTAGCTGGGATTACAGGCATGTGCCACCACACCTAGCAAATTTTCTGCATTTAGTAGAGAAAGGGTTTCACCATGTTGGTCAGGCTGGTCTCAAACTCCTGACCTCAGGTGATCCACCCACCTTGGCCTCCCAAAGTGCCGAGATTATAGGCATGAGGCACTGCACCTGGCCTCTCTTATTTAGATGTTTAGATACACGGTAATTCAATTGAGTGTACTTTGTGTCTTTGGGGGGGGGGAATCCTAAATTTTCCCATGTCTGTGACTTTCCTCATACTATTCCACTTATCTGGAATGAACTTGCATAGTCCCCAAATAGATTACTAATAACTATTTCTGCCTAAGTTTTAGAAACTCTTTGAAAATATCCTAATTTTAAGTTCCTAGAGGGAAAATTTAACACTTGACACAGCCTTAATAAATAAATAATGACAATCATATTGATGGTTTAACACTAATAAACACATATTTTTGAATAGTAGTTAAGTTCCATTGTAGCTTTCAGGGATTCAAAGCCATAGTCCCTGATGCCAAGTTGACAGTTAATGGTTGCTTCAAGTGACTGGGGGATCCAGCATTGGCAATCACTTTGAAGATCAGGGGATTTTCTGTATAAGCAGGAATTATTTATAGCCATCCAAATTAAATTTCAGGGAAGGTGGGGTGGGTGGGGAATGACTAACATTTATTGAGCACACACACACACACACACACATATGTGTGTGTGTGTGTGTGTGTGTGTGTGTGTGTATACACACACATATGCGCCAGGGATTGTACTAAGTGCTTTCCACATATATTTATGTCATCTGCATAACAATCTCTATACAGCCTATGTCATCTGCATAACAATCCCTATAATACACCTAGTATTATTTCTATCTTCATAGAAGAGAAAACTGAAGCTCAGAAAAGTGTTTATAAATTGCTTAAGAACAGATATCTAATAAATTACAAAGCCAAGATTTGGACCCAGCTGGGCCTGATTCCAAAGATTATGTTCTTTGTATGATGAGGAGGACACAGTCTATAGAGCAGACACATAAATAATTAGGTGATTGTGCATTGCAGTAAGTGCTGTACTGAAGTAAATCCAAAGCACATGGACTTTCCATTACCTCAGTGCTTATGTGGCAGTTTAGGGTGGAGGCAATGCTGCAGGATGATCAAGATCACCCACAATGGAAACAGGAAGAACTTGGTTCAAATCCTAACGCAGGACGAACTTGAACAAGTGGTTTAATCATTCCAAGCTTCAGTTTTCTCATTCATAAGATTAAAATAATCAAGCTTATTTTTAAAATAAAATTAAATTATGCATATAATGTCATCAGCACATTATCTGGAACACAGAACTCACTCAATAAATTGTAGTTAATTAAATATAATTATCATCATTATTTAGTAGCCTCTTTCATCTTTAATACTTTGGCCTCTTCCAAACTCCTTTAACAAGTGTTTGCTTATCTATATGTGTGATTTCATTTTGTGTTGCTGAAGAACCGTTTGAAAACTGCAGACACCCATAAAAATACCTGTGTGAATCTTTAAAAATAAGGGCATTCTTAGCCAGGTGCCGTGACTCAATGCCTGTAATCCCAGCATTTTGGGAAGTAGACTTGGGCAGATCATGAGGTCAGGAGTTCGAGACTAGCCTGGCCAACATAGTGAAACCCTGTCTCTATTAAAAATACAAAAATCAGCTGGGTGTGGTGGTGCATGCCTGTGATCCCAGCTACTCAGGAGGCTGAGGCAGGAAAATTGCTTGAACCCAGGTGGCGGAGGTTGCTGTGAGCTGAGATCATGCCACTACACTCCAGCCTGGGGCAAGACTCTATCTTGAAAAAATTTTTTTTTTCAAAAAGGACATTCTTGTGCATACATAATGACATAATTGTCACCTAAGATAAGGCAACAATATCTCCTAATATCCTTAATATAATCTAATTTCTAGTACATATTTAAATTTTCTAAATTGTCCCCACAGACATTTTGAACCAGG